GAAGAAGAACTTTAATATAAGTTTAACATGACAGCAAATGTACAACGTTTCGTTGATGACAAAACCTTGTCGAAACATTGTACATTTGCTGTCATGTTAAACTTATATTAAAGTTCTTCTTCGTTACCCATTTAAGCCGTCTCCAGCCATTATTAGTCTCAAAGTGGGTTCCTCATCATCGAAATATGTGTCTTATTGTCCTAATTTTTGTCAGTGTAGGACTTAATTAAGTATCCTGTGTCATCTAGGTTAATTTAGAGGAATTATAAGGTAGATATTGATTGTTAATGTTTTTCTTGGTAATTTTAATCGGTTTGCATGTTTGTTATTATTAAATACATTGTGAACTTGATAAATTTAGATGGTTTGCACATTTGATATTTATTAGTACTTTGTTAACTAGGTATGTTTAAATAGTTTGTATGTTACATATAGTACTACTAGTAATATATAATTCATTGTTTGGCTTTCACAACCATTTCCTTAACTTCCATCTCCCATTCCAATCCTGATCAGTTTCTTTGTCTGGTTCACCCATTATGGTGTTATGTGGCACATCCTGCCTTCTTTTGGAGTTCAAGTTCTTGACTTTTATTCCCTGAAACCCTTCCATTTCCTGTGATCTATTCCCTGACATGTTAACTGGTTGTGTTTGTCAGCTCATTAGGCTGGTGTATTCAGACTTATCCATTGAAGGTTGCCATCTCCACAACGTTTCGTCTCATCATATTCATCATCTCACCATACTTTGGCTTATTGCCTTTGTCCTCCATTGCAGGAGATCATCCGGGCTGGAATATGGTCTATTTCCAATACTTTCATCACTCATTATCTGCATGATCTTGCTGTATCTACTTCTGTTGGATATCATCTCCCTCCCATGGAGTTTCTACACATCTCAGTTCACATTTGACTGGGGTAAATTTTATCACTTCCTTTCATTTATGTTTTTGTTTCAGCAAACTTAGTTTTAACTACTAATATTGGGATCACACTCTGTGGTGGGTGTTGCCTGGTCAGGTATGCTTTGCCTCAAACCCGCACTATTTACTGTTTGCAATTTAATGCTCACTGTATAGGTGTAGTGTTTTTGCAAGGCCATTGGTGGCTTACCTAATGGTATATATATATATATATATATA